TGCACCTTTCACAACCCCTGAGGCTACAGAGAGGGGCTCCTCCCCTGGGCTTCCTCAGTGAGGACCCCACTGTGCACCATAGCAACGTGCTCATTACAGAAGCACAACAGGGATCCCTGGGTGCTCACGGCACTACCATCTTCTCTGTCTTTTTTGTGGTTCTGGGGATGAAGCCCAGGGCCTCACACGTGCCAGGCAAGTGCTCTGCCTGAGCTCCAGCTCCAGCCTCCATGTGCGTCTTCTGTGCTTCCTAAAGGTTTCCTGCTCACCACAACAGGCCCTTGGGCCCCTGATGACCATCCCATCCTCGGACTGATGTCCCCACCTCTGTAAAAGTGACTCTGTAAACAACCACCTTCACCTGCTCATTCAAAGCCCCTGTGCTTCAAAGCAGCTCCTTTCATTATTTTTTGCTCACTGGAAAGGGTCCTGTTTCCATTGAATAGACCCTTGACCTCTCACAAGTTCACTGGGGACATCATGCTGTTGGAGTAGCTTTCTCCCTTGCTCAGGAAAACTAACTGCCCTCCTAAAGAAGACCCCTCATTAAAGCAGGTCACGTATTTTTTTTATTTCCCTTTTTTAAAAAACTTATTTACTTGTTCTAACTTTTTATACATAGCAGCAGAATGCATTTCAATTCATTGTACACACAGAGCACAATTTTTCATTTCTCCAGTTGTACACAACATGTACTTAGGATAGTGATGTCCATTTCATTCCACCATCTTTCCTACCAGGCCACATATAAAAGTTTGTTTTTCTACATAACTGATGTAATCCCTATTACTCATCAAAGCAATCCCCAATCCACTCTCAGTCCACTTGTTAGAGCAGGTCCCAACCACGATGCTTGCTGGCAAATTAAAGTAAGCATGTTACCTAGTGTTTAAAATACATCTTTTTGTTCTTACAAAACCTCATCTTACTAACTAAAACAGATCTCTTTTTCTTTTTCTTTTTTTGGTACCAGGAAACTGAACCCAGGGGTGCTTAACCACTGAGTCACACCTAGCCCCCCCCCTTTAATTAAAAAAAAAAAATTCAAGACAGTGTCTCAAGTTGCTTAAGGCTTTGTTAAATTGCTGAGTTTGGCTGTGAATTTGTGATTCTCCTGCCTCAGCCTCCCAAGTTGCTGGGATTACAGGCATGTGTCACTGGATCCGGCTCAGATCTGATTTAAAGTAGGCAACATGACTGACTTTTCTGCAGCTACCAGAAGACAACTTATCAAAGCAAACTCTACCTGGCTTACCTGTGCATAGCAAAGAAAGAAAGGAAAGGAAAGAAAGAAAGAAAAGAAAAAGCTTTTTACAACGCTGGGATGGAACCATCAGGATAGTGCTGGAACACTGGGCTACATCCTCAGCCTCCCCCACATTGTCTTCTTTTCACCCATCCAAAATGCTCTCGTTCAAGATGAAATCTGAGCAGGTGTTTGCCTTCACACAGATCTTCTCAGAAGCTCGAGGCCACATAACAGTCAACGGTAGTCCTGCTGCACAAAAGCCCACCTCACCTTTCTCCTTGGAGCCAGTGTCCACGAAGAACAGTTTTTCATCAGGGGCCTCTGACACTAAGCCGCTGGGGGACAGAAATGCAGACCATCAGTTAAAGTTGTGAGGAAGAGAACAGTTTTAAAATCTCGGGGTTCAGCATCCTCATTCAAGCCCCCTCTTCCCGCCGTGGGGCTCTTTGGGCCTCGCCCCTCCGTTTCCAGAGCCTGATATTTAAAATGCACCAAGCTAGGGTGGGTACATGGGACCTACTTCTACTAAAAAGTTAATTACTGCTCACTAAATTCGAATTTAATTGGGGGTCCTGTATTCTTACTTACGAAATTTGGTAACTCGCGCGCTACCTGGGGCAGGTTCCCCAGCCCCCCGGAAGCCGCCCAAGCACCCTCGGCCTCGCACTGGGCCCAGCTCCCTGAAGTTCCGCCCCACGTACCCGGTCGTGCGCTCCTGTAGCCGCACGTCCTCCAGGAACTGATCAACTTCCAGCCCCAGCGGCTCCTGAGCGAGTCGCCGCCAGCCCCGCTTCTTATTTCTTGGGCCCCGCCGTCGCCGCCTCAGCGCCGGGTCCACCGACGTGGGTCGCAGGCCCAGGAAGCCAGAATCAGCATTGCTTTTCGAGCAGCGTCTGGCACGATCGCCATTGCTTCCTGCCGCCATCTTGTTAAAGGAAGTACTCAGTCGCGGATGCCCAGAAATCCGGTTCGGATCTTGCGCGCGCAGCTCTCCCGGCCTCTCCTATTACGCACTTCCTGTGACAGCCATATTGGTAAAGCGGTAGGGGAGAGAAAGGGGCGTGGAGCCTGCCATCTTGGTACAGGATAAATGGCTCTTTTCTCCTCCAGTGTTTGCAACCAAATCTGCCGATTCCTAGTTGCGGGAAGGGGGTTATAGGTTCTTGGCTCTTGTCCTAAGCAAAACATCTTTCCCGACCGCCCAAGGTCTGATGATGATTGTTATTTTTTGGGTAATAGAGATGGAACCCGGGGAACTTAACAACTGAGCTACATCACCAGCTCTTTTTATTTTTTTAAATTTTGAGACAGCGTCTCACTGAGTTTCTAAGGCTGGTTTTGAACTTGTGCAATCTTCCTGCCTCAGCCTCCAGAGCTGCTGGGAAGTGAGGATGGGCCTTAGGCCTGAGCCTAAGCAACTCCATTTTAAAACCTGCAGTCTCATCAGGCCTGCCTAATGGAGCCCTCCAGTATGGCCCTCAGGCACAAACAAGTCACTTTGCCTCACCCTGATAAACTCAAGAGTCTAGTCTCTGGCTGGCTCTCCTCTGCTGATAAGAGGGAAAGGCGAAAAGATCAGGGTGGAGACCACCAGACTAGATGTTTTAACCCCAGGGTAAATGATGTCACTGAGAGACCCGGTGCCAACTGATAAGGATTGAAAGGGCTGTCCAAAACCCCCAAATTTGATATAAATATTGGAGCAAATGAGCAGACATTCAGCCAGCTGACAATGATGCCCTCACGCTGAGAGCTTGATGAGGACCTGGATTGACATCCCAACACGTTTTCATTGCCTGATCCTCAACCAGCCATCAGCTTCACCGAAGAGAAGCCTGCTTTGGTTTCTGATCTGATCACCACAATCTGAGTGAGTGTGCATCTGCTGGACTTAGAGCCTAAGGCTTGAGACTTTAATTTAGCATGCAAAAGGAATGTCTTGAGCCTGTCCTGATTCAGTGTGTTTGTGGTGCTTAGAATTAATCTAGAATTGCTTGCTGTGAATTGATTATTTCTTGCAGTGGCTAGCATTAAGGATGGTCATTTTCTTGATTAAGAACCTATAGAGTGAAATTATATTGAGTGACTTGAGTGAATAAAGCATTGACTAGGGCAGAAGCACATGGACATTATTTCTCCCCTTGGACTGCATAAGTCGCACCTTTTGCCCCTTGAGACAGCAGATTATAGGTGTGTGCCACCACGTCTGGCTGATTTCAGAACTGACAGTAGCAGATTTAGCACAAGACACACTGCAATCTCAGGTTTTGGCCTCTCAGTGTTCCAATCCTAGAATCTTGAAAATCAAATATTTTTAGGATTGTCAAGGCTGGAAACACAGAACATTCAAGGAGTGTTCAAAATATACACTATCCGGATCCCTAGTTAACACGTGTAAGGCCCTAGGTTCAATCCCAAGCCTTGCAAAAGAGGGATGGGGCGAGATCCCTAGAAGCACAGATTCAGGATCATTCATCATCCATAAAATGGGAACGATTATGATAGATTATTCTAAAGATTAAAAACATAAAGCAAGGGCTGGGGATATAGCTCAGTTGGTAGAGTGCTTGCCTTGCATGCATAAGGCCCTGGTTCAATCCCCAGCATCATACACACAAAAGTAAAGCATTGAAGACTGTGCCTGATATCTGCGTTAGCTATCGCCCCTGAGACTTAATCTAATAATCAACTCATATTTGCTATTTACAAATAATAAAACAAGCTCAGAGGCCTTTGGGTCCTTGCAACCATCCAAAGGGATCTACAGCTTCATAAAAGCCAGTCTTGCAGGGCGCTGTGGCACACGCTTGTAATCCTATTGGCTCTGGAGGCTGAGGCAGGAAGACCGCGAATTCAAAGCCAGCATCAGCAATTTAGGGAGGCGCTAAGCAACTTAGTGAGACCCTGTCTCTTAAAAAAAAAACACAAAACTGGGCTGGGGATGTGGCTCAGTGATTAAGTGCCTCTGAGTTCAATCGCGGTACCAAAAAAAAAAAAAAAAGCCATTCTTGAGTCATAAATGAAAAAGACCTAGAGAGGTAAAGCGCGACTGGGTGGGGGGTGTCACACAGTAGAACGCAACCAGATCCTTGCGCAGAGTGTTTGGAAGGTGACAGGTCCTGAATGGTGGCCCCCAAACCTGAGCACGCACCGGCCGCCTCGGAAATCAAACTGCCCTGCTCCCGAGGCTCCTCCAGAGGGCGCCGAGGGCCACAAAACTGAGCGCGCGTGGGCGGGCGGAGCGCGGGGACAGCATGTCCTGGGAGCGGCGGGTGTGGCCTGCGTGTGCGTCCGAGGACAGCACAGGGTGCGATGCCTGGCGCGGGCCGATCCCCAGGGCGTGAGCGCGCGCAGGGTGGTCCTTGGCAGCCTGCTCTCCGCAGGACCCCGCCCCTCCCTGGCGTTCCCTGTCGCAAGCTGGGTATCCGAGTGGTGCCAGCCCAACTCGGCGGCCCGGGCAGGCGAGGGTCACGTTGTGCCCGAGCGCGCACTCACACAAGCCCAGGCCCCGCGGCGGGAGGCGGAGAGAGGGATGTCCGGGGGGGGGGGGCCGGGCCCCAAAGTAACTTCTCTTCGGAAAATATGCAGGGCTGGCCCCCAGCCCGGGCCTGAGTCACCGGGCTTCGCTGCGCTGACTCACGGACCCTCCCGACCCCGCGAGCTACGAGGGCCTCCCTACCCCGAGTCCACCCAGGGCGCCGCTGCCCTGGAGGGGCGCGGGCCACCCCGCCCCGAGACAGCGCGACTCCGGCAGGGGAAGAAGCCTTGCCTTTATTCGCTCTACGGGGGACACTGTCTGGCTCTCGGCCCTCCCAGCGCGGGTGGAGCCGCGATGCGCGCATCGTGGCCAGCCACCTGGAGGAGCGCCCTCTCCAGCTGTTTGGTTCTCCCGCGTCCTTTCCGCGGGGCTTCCCACCAAGGCCGAGCCCTGATGCGGGGGAGGCACGAGAGGGCGTGGGGGGCCCCTTGGGGAGGGAGAGGAGGACGGCTGTAGCACCAAGAAATCGCTCCCCACGATCCCTGAAAAGGGGCTGCAGGAAAGCCCCCAGGCCTTTGCATCGTGGGGGCTACATTGAAGTAGGAGCGTACAGTCTGGGGGGAGCCGGACAGACCGACTGAAAGAGCTTTTCCACGTGCTGCAGGATCCTTATTAAAGAAATTTGGGGAATCAGAATTTCCGGGCTTTCCTGGGGACGGGAAGGGGCTGAAGAGGGGTCCATCTGAGGAAGCAGGGGTCGTGTCTCCTCTCTGAGCCCCCAGTGGTCCCAACATCTGAGGACACGATGTGGGGGAGGGTTCTTGCCTGGCTGGGCAGGAGGAATAGGGGCAGAAGGGAAAGTTTATCTGTCACTTCAACCAAGTGGTCTCTCACCAAGGGAGAGGGACAAAGGGTCCTACCTGGAATCAATTATGTGTTTGTGTGGCTATGTATCTGCCCTCTCCTGAGGCTGTCAGCTCCATGAGGGCTGGGCAAGTAGTAGGTGCTCAATAAATATCTGAATGAACGTTGGGTAGATGGGTGCCTGCGTGCTTTCGTGTGAGGTGCCCAGGTGCATGTGAGGGTCGAGGTGGGAAGGGTGCAGAGAAGCCTTGCCACTCCCTTTGGACCCCCACTAAATGCTTAGAGTGTCTGGCGGTGGGCGGAGGAAGCCCCCACTCCAGTCCTTGCAGCTGCGTAGGGTGGGCAGGTAGGATGCGTGCGGACAGGGCGGGGCCAGAGGGTTATGTGCGCGCAGCCGACTGGAGCTGGGGAGCCACAGCAGGGCAAGTGGGAGGGAGGGCCTGCGGGTGGTGGTGGGCTCACTCTGCAGAGCCCTTATGGCGCCGCTTGGAGGGTGGCACTAGACGACGAGGCAGGTTGGTGGGCAGCCCGTGGCCCTCGAGCTTGGCCTCGATGAGGTGGCTGGCCAGGGCGAACTCCTCGTCATCAAGCATGCCGTCGCGGTCAACGTCGCTCAGCTTCCAGATGCGCCCCAGCACCGAGTTGGGCAGCTTGGTGCCCACCATCCAGGTCTTGGCCTTGGAGCCGCTCAGCTTGCCGTCGGCGGGTGCCAAGTTGTAGAAGATCTCGTCGTATTTGGACTTGTCCTTGGTCACCACCCATTCGGCCTCGTCGTCCGAGCCTTCCTCGCCGTCCTCCAGCGCCTCGTCAGGCCCCCGCTCTACGAATGGGCCCATGTGGGTGCCCTCGAAGGCGCCGCCCTGCACCCCGGCCTCCGTGCTCTCCAGCTCCTCCTGCCGCAGCAGCGGCATGAGCTTGGCGATGTCGTGCGTCAGCATTTCGTCCAGCGCCTCCAGCAGCTTCGGCTTGAGCGAGTGGAACTTGGTGAAGTCATGTGCCATCAGCAGCTCCTGCAGTGGAGAGCGGGAACACTGAGAGGTCGGGGAGCCCTCTCTAGGCCCTTGGGGTGCAGCCTGAGGACGCTTGGGAGCACTGAATACCAGCTCTTCACCAATAGCCGCAGAAGCTTTTGAATATCCAAACAGCGCTTTCTGCTTGGGCACTCCCACCCCCTCTTCCCTTCCCAAGTCTAGCGGGCTGAAATGCAGACAAGGGCTGGAGGTTGTGCAGCTATTTCATATCATGAGGTTTCTTGGACCTGGCAGCCAAGCATGGAAGAAAAGACAGAAAGGGACAAGGTTCTCAGCTCTAAGAAGCACCAAACCAGCCCCGAACCAGAAGACACTTGAGCAAGAGAGTCCCCAGGGCCCTCTGATGAGTCAGAGCAGTGGCCCTTCACCAGATGGTGGAAGAGGAGTTCAATATTTTAGCGCACCTGCCAGCCCTGCCCACCCTCCACTCCACCCCGAGGAGTCTGGCCAGCACCCCACCATTTTGCAAGTTAAGAAAACTCAATTCCATCAGTCCTGTGCAACACAGCAAGACCTCCATCTCAGAGAGAGAGAGAGAGAGAGAGAGAAGGAAAAAGAAAACTCAGCGGGATAGTGGAGCAGCGGTCATCCCAGTGACTCAGGAGGCTGAGGCAGGAGGATCCCAAGTTCAGGATCAGGCTGGGCAACTTAGCCAGACCCTGATTCATAATAAAAAATAAAAGGGGGCTGGGGTTTGTGGCTCAGTGGTAGAGCACTTGCCTGGCATGTGTGAGGCACTGGGTTCGATTCTCAGCTTTGCATATAAATAAATGAATAAAATAAAGGTCCATCAACATCTTAAAAAAACACTTAAAAAGTAAATAAATAAATAGAAAGGGCTGGGGGTGGATCTCAGTGCTAGATCCCCCCGGCTTTACCCAGTACCAGAAAAAAGCATTTTCTTTTCCAATTCTTGCCACCATGTCACTGTACCACAGGGGCGCAGCTGAGTAACTGGTGCCCAACCTGGGCGGTAGGGTTAGGATCCTGGGACACCCGCGCTCTGCCCAGGCCATTCTGCTCTGGAGCAGCTGTGGGGTGGGTTTGTGGTCACTGGATGGCACACTGGAACCCTAAGTCACTGCGCCAGGAGAGTCTCGGCCAAGTTCCACTCACTGCATGCACCATGCTGGTTTCCAGAGCCCAGGAGAGTGGCTCCCGGTGTGACTGCAAAGGGGGAGGGCTGTGACAGGGTGGGGGGAGTGCCGTCTGAGGACACCCAGCTCCACCTCCTAGAAGCTGGGTGGCCTCGGGTAGTGGCTTCACCTTGGTTTCCATGGTTTTGTTTTGTTCACTTTGATACCCAGGATTGGACCCAGGGGCTCTTTTCCACAAAGCCACATCCCAGCCCTTTTAATGTTTTATTTTGAGACAGGGTCTCACTAAGTTGCTGAGGGTCTCCCTCAATGCCAGGGCTGGCCTCGAACTTCTGATCCTCCTGCCTCAGCCTCCCAAGTTGCAGCCACCATGCCCTGCTTGGTTTCCATGTTTGTAAAACAGGGGTGATGACATGAGCATGGTGGTATAGTTGGGCTCTTGAATGTCCCCAAAGGATCATGTGTTGAAGCTTGGTCCCCAGGTTAGCAGTGTCCAGAGGCGGACCTTTGGGAATGATGGATCCCCAGGGCTTTGACCTCATGGATGGATGAGTCCGTTGGCGGTTGGTGGCCGGGGCTGGGCGGGGGTGGGGGGTGGGAATATTGGGAGGCCTAGTTGAAGGGAGTGGCCCCTGGGGACTATATCTCATACTGCCCACTCCCAGTCTGTCTCTCACTGCTCCCTGGCCACTCGCCCCTCCGCCGTGCTCTGCCTCACCACGGGCCTACAAGCAACGGAGCCAGCTGCCCGTGGATGGAGACCTCGGAAACCCTGAGCCAAAGTAAATCTTTCCTCCTCTAGGTTGTTTGTCTCAGGTATTTTGGTCACAGTGAGGAAAACCTGACTAACACACGCAGGGAAGGCCAAACAAATTCCTCTGGATGAACTGCTCAGGAAACAAATTCCTCTGGATGAAGTGCTCGGCAGCCACTGTGCCTCTAGCCCAGTGGCTCTCAAGCAGGGGTGATGTTGTCCCCCCAGGGGACAGGTGGCAACATCTGGGACATTTCTCTCTTTCTTTTTAAATATTTATTATTTTTTGGTTCTGGGGATTGAACCCAGGGATGCGCTACCACTGAGACACATCCTCAGCCCTTTTTGCTTTGAGACAGGGTGGCACTAAGTTGCTGAGGCTGGCCTCAAACTTGCCTTGGCCTCCTGAGTGACTGGGATAATAGACACGTGCCACCTCACCTGGCATCTGGAGGCATTTCTGAGGGACAGAGCTGAGGAGGCGGTACTGGGCAGAGGCTGCTCCACTTCCTGCAGTGCACGCCCCCCTCCTCCAAGAATCATCCACCCCAATGTCTGTCGCAGGCATTGAGAAGCCCAGATGTAGCCCCAGCTTTGGGCCAGGGCAGGCAGACAGTTCAGCGTGACCAGGTTGATGCGGGCATGTGCCCATCTCCCAGGGGAAGAAATTCAGGCTCCCATGGGGCTCCACCTGGCCAGGGTCACTGAGCTGCTGGTGGCCAACGGGGACTCTGCCCAATCCTTTGGGGTCTAGGCTGCAACTGTCTCTCCCTCAGAAGTCACAGGCTTTCGACATCAGCCAAAGTCAGCCTCAGAACCGAGGCTGGGCAGAGGCTAGCCCCCAGCCTCCCTGAGCACAGCCTGTCTCCACATCCCGGGCTCCTGCCTGCCCACCCACCTCCCAGACTGCACCACATCCCTGCCAGCACTCCCCCAATGCTTGAGGAGCCCCCACGGATCCCCAACGTCCATTCTGCCCTTCTTTCTCGGTGCTGGGTCCCTTGACTGTACCTGATATCAGCCACCAAGAGGAAGAACCATGCTCTCAGCAGCCCCCAGCCATGTGACTGAGTCCAGCTAAGGGGATGTGAGCAAGGAGTTGCTCATGCAATTTCTAGGATTACCTTGTTCAATATGGTAGCCCATGACCCCGTGTGGGTATTTAAACCAGTTAAAATTAAATAAAATCCATGATTCAGTCTTAAGATTTTTTTTTTCAGTGCTAGGGATCAAACCCAGGGCCTCATGTTGGCTAGGCAAGGGCTCTGCAACTGAACTGTACCCCCAGCCCAGGAAGTGTCCTTAAAGAGAGTGATTGTACCCTTCTCTTCCTTTCCCTCCCTTCTTGCTGGATGGAATGCAGATACAATGTCTAGACTTTCTGCAGTTGTTTTGTACCATGAGGTTTCTCAGGACATAGAGGCCAGGCATGGAAGAGAAATAAGACAGAAGGGGGCTTTACACTGCACCAAAGCAGCCCTAGACCCTATTCTTGTGGGTTTTCTCCTGATCCATCAGACTAACTCACAAGCCATGCTCCCATGGACCCACGTGCAGGGGACTTTCCCACATCTGCCACTGTCCCTCCAGCTTTCCAGGCCCCTCTCTAGAGCTCACCCCCCACCACCCACCCCCTGGGCAGCCTCCCACCTGCATCTTCTGGCAGTCGGGAAAGTCGCCGGGGGAGATGTGGTGCTCCAGCTGAATCTTGGCAAAGATGACGGGCAGCTTGAGGATCAGCTGCTTCTTCTTGTTCTCCTTCCCAAACACAGAGGGCATCTCCTTCTTCAGGTAGCTGATGATGTACGCGTGAACCTGCGGAGCAGCATCCTCACCTGAGCCCGGGCAGCCACAGGGAGGTGACCAGCAGGGCGCAGCCTGGGGGTCTGCATTCCTAACCCATGGGGGGGGGTGCGGCTGCTGCAGGCCAGGCAGCCTCTCTGAACCCTGCTGCCTTATCAGCCGGGGCTCCCCTGGACTCCCCTCTCTTGTAAGCGATCCCCACCCCTCCCAGGCTCCAGCTCCCCTCCAGCCGTCCACTCCCACATGCCAGCCTGGACCTCTCCCTGAGCTCGAGCCTCAGCTAATGGCCTCCTTGACATTCCTCACCAGCTCCGCACCCTGACACCCCATGTGGAATCCAGGCCCAGCCCCAGACTGTCACTCTAAGCGGTTCCCCTGTTAGAGAAGAGGAGCCCTCGTGACCTGCCTGGTCTCCTGCCCCTGGGGCCTCTGCCCACCAGGCAGCACCAGGCCTGATCTGCTTCTCATCCACGTTCAGAACTCCTGCCCTAACTGACGAGGCCCTATGGGGCAATTCTCCAAGTGTCTCCAGGGAACTCTAGGGGCCCCAAGACCCTTTCAGAGGTTCCCATGGCCCAAACTATTTTAATGATAATACTAAATCGCCAGGTGCAGTGGTGCAGAGGGATCGCAACTTCAAGCCCAGCCTCAGCAATTTAGAAAGGCCTCAGTAACTAGAAGAGAGCCTGTCTCAAAAAGTCAAGAAAGACCTGGGGCCCGTGTGGTGGTGCACGCCTGTAATCCCAGCGGCTCAGAAGGCTGAGGTAGGAGGATCAGGAGTTCAAAGTCCAGCCTCAGCAATTTAGGGAGGCCCTAAGTAACTCAGCAAGACCCTGTCTCTAAGTAAAATCCAAAAAGGGTCTGGGGATGTGACTCAGTGGTAAAGCACCCCTGGGTTCAAATAAATAAATAAATAGCCATTTGTTCCTGAGACTTTTTGGTTTTTGCTCTAGTTTCTGTACCAGGGGTTGAACCCAGGGGTGCTCTACCACTGAGCTCCATCCCCTGCCCTTTTTACTTTTTGAGATAGGGTCTTGCTAAGTTGCTGTGGCCTCAACCTTTCCACCCTCCTGCCTCGGCCTCCTGAGTCACTGGGACTATAGATGTACAGCACCCTGCCCAGCGACAGTGAAGTTTCTAAAAAATTACAAGATGTCTAACATTGAGACTGATGGAATGTTCGAACAGAGCAGAATCAGGCTGTTTCCTTTGAAGCCAGATGTTAAAGTGATTTGCAAAAAATGAAAAACAAATATATAGCCTGGTATGGTGGCCACCCTGTAATCCCAGTGACTTGGGAGACTGAGGCAGGAGGATCGCAAGTTCAAAGCCAGCCTCAGCAACTTAGTGAGACTGTCTCAATAAAAAGGGCTGGGGGTATAGGTCAGTACATAAGTGCCCCTGGGTTTAATCCCTAGTTCCACAAAACAGAAACAACATTTAAAAAGTTTTTAAGAACATTATTAAAAATGTTTTTAAAAAATCATAGGTTTCAACTATTAAAACTTTCAGTGATGGCCTTCACCAGCTGGTTGAGTGATTTCTTCCCACCCTCCACCACCCAGTCTCCTCCAGCCACCTGGGATTTGCTACCTCAGGGCCTTTGTACTTGCTGTACTCTGGGCCTGGAATGCTCTCTCTGCAGATCGCCACTCAGCTCACCACATCCCCTCCTTCAGACCCCCCTACTACAGTCCCTCACCAGCCTCCCTCTCCTGGGTGTCACTTGTTCAGTGTCTGCTTCCCCACTAAGCTGTCATTCTTCCAGAAAAGGAATGTCGTTTGTTCTCTGCTGTATTCCAGGGCCTAGAAGAGTGTCCGAGCACAGTGTGGACGCTCAGCTTTGTCTAAGGTTTCCCTCCCGGCATCTCACCCTCTTCAGAATCTGGCCTCCTGAGATCCTGGCTTCAGGAATCACAGCACCTGGAATTCCCCCTCTAGCAGCTACCAGTTCAACCTAAGGGCGGGCCGGAGGACTCCCCCGGCTACCTGGCAAGGATGGGGAGCCCGAGCAAGTGGCTGGGTGGGGGACGGTTACCAAGAGCCCCTAAGGGACAGGGAGAGCTCCTGAAGGGAGGGAGACAGTGTGAGCTGTCGGTGGCCAGATATGGCAAAATCATTCTTGAGGAGGGGGTGTGGAGGGGGCGTGACACGGCTTGGGGTCATGGCACAGTGATGCCCAGTCACACTGGACCCTGAATTCCATGCCCCAAGGTGCTGAGCGCACCAGGGAGCCATGGATGAACCTGCTGAGAGGGGTGGGTGTGGCCTATGGACCAGAGAGACCAATCAGTGCAAGGGTGTGGCCAGACGTGTGGGTGGAGCCTACGAGAGCGGGCCAATGGGGCGAGGGGGCGGGGCCTGCAGCGGTTCCACTGGGATCCAGAGGGAGACCGCTGGCAGGAGGTCGCTGATGGCTTTTCCAGAGAGGAAGCGGGGGAAGGTGCCAGGAAGAGATAAGGTGCAGGGCGGGCTGGGCCGGGGCGCGGGTCGAACTCCGGGGTTTGTCCGCCTTTCCGGAGCCGCCTCCTGCCTGACGGGGGCACCAGGTGTCCGGCCCCGCCCCGCCCCTCGGTCCCCGCGCCTGGGTTCCAGCTCCCGCCTCTGCTTCCCCCAGGGACCTGAGGGAACGAGGACGAACCGGAGGCTGAGAAGGACGGGGGAGGCCGAAAAAGGGGGAGGATCCAGAGAGCAAAGGAGTCAGGGGGAGGAAGAAAGGATGAAAGAGAGAGAGAAAGAATTGGAGAGACAGACAGACTGACAGCCACCGAGAGCTGGTGGGAGAAGAGAGGGCTCCGCAGGCTCCGGGCTGCCTCGCCAGGCAGGATTCCTCGGGGGAGGGTCTGACTCGCCCCGCCCTGCTCCTCAAACCAACACCTCAGCTCCCCAGCACCTCAACCTTCCCGGCTGCCCTGCTGCCAGCTTCCTGCCCCGCCTCCACCCTGGCAGCCTCGCCTATGAGTGTTCCATTTGGCCTCCAAAATCACTCTTCCACCAGTTTCTGTGCTCTCCTCTCCCTCCCCAAGGCCTGACCAGGCTGGCTCCTCCAGCCTCCTCCCTGGTCTGCAGGCCCCAAGTCACACCCACCTTCAACCACCCTCCAGAAGGCAGCCTGAGTGGAACCCTGCCTCTCCCCAACTCTCACCTTCCATGGCTCCCCATGTCCTTGGGACCAAGCACAGACTCCTCAGCACAGCCCACCAGTTCCCAGGTGTTCTGGCTCCCAGCCACCTCCCCAAGCTCAAACCGAGTTACTCACACTTTCTACACTGGGTTCAACACAGACATTTTTCCTCAAATGCCCTCTCCTCCACGAAGCCCTCCTTGTCTGGCCCCACCCCTGATTATGCTGGCCTGTCATTGTCTGGGGATGGGTCTGTCTCTTCCCCAGAATCCCCGCAGGTCCTGGGACTGCCTTGGGGTTTGGGGGGAACCAGCAGGGCAGGGCTGGAACTGCCTTGGTCATTACTGTGTCCCCAGGACTGCCCAGCAGAGGGCCAGGCACAGAGGACACCTTGTTCAATTTGTGGGTCTGTCTAGTGTCCTCATTCGACAAATATTTCCTGAGCAATTCTGTTTTAGCACTGCGGCTACATGAGTGGAGGAAGTCAAAGATCCCTGATTCCCTGGAACTTAAACAGGAGGCAGGAGGCAGACAGTGAACACAGACTCCCCAGTGAGGCTGACCCGAGGGAGGCCGTAATGGTGGGAAGGCTAAAGCAGAACCTGCAGGGCCAGAGCTGTGTTCCTGAAAGGGAGGTGGCAGGGCCCTCCTGAAAAGGTGAAGTTTGAACAGAGACTTGAAAGGCAACCAGTGAGGACAGCCCAGTGGGAGGGAGGCAGGGAGGCCAGAGGTGAGGCTTCTAGGAGGACTTCACCCCAAGTACAAAGACCCTGAGGGAGGGTAGAGGCAGCCAGGAAGGGAACAAGGTGAGGACAGAGGGGAAGGGCGGGAGGAGATGACCTGTGGGCCACCTGAGGAGTCGGCTTTTGTTCCGAGACAGGGGACAGGAATTGGAAACAAGCAAGGCCAGCCACCAGACCACCGCATTGGCGGTGGGAGATGGAAGAAGGCACATCACGGAGGAGACCAGCCAGGAGCCTCAAAGTACAAACTCAAGGTAGAGAAGTGACCCTCTGCCCCTTTCCAGAATGATCCACCTCACTGCCCTGGTGCTAAGTCGGTGCCAAGCAGCCCGGGAAGGAGAGAAGGAGGGAGGGAGGCCAGGCCGTTGGCCTGCCACTGCTCACCCGCACCAGCCGGGCCCTCTTCACCAGGTCGTTGAGCTTGCGCAGGGCGGCGTGGCGGGGCAGCCCCTGGATGTCGCGGAAGAGGTCCTGCTCCTCCAGCTCAAACAGGCGCCGGTTGTCGGGCACCAGGAGCGGCTGGGACCAGAAGGAGCCGATGTAGACGCGCAGGACCTCGGGCGTGCCCACCACCTTGCCCAGCGCCCACATGAGCGCGCCGTAGACGCGCATCAGCTGCTGCGTCTCCACCATGTCGGCCTTGTTGAGAACCACGCGGATCTTGTCCTCGTGGCCCCGCAGGGCCCCGATGGCCTCGGAGAACTCGTCCGAGATCTCCAGCTTGTGTGCGTCGAAAAGCAGGATGATGAGGTCCACGCGCTCAGCGAACCAGCGCAGCACAGCTGGGAAGTCGTAGCCTGGGGAGTGGGGGGCGCCGGCGGAAGTCAGACCCCACCCTCGAGCCAGAATGTAGCACCCATTCTTTTGGACAGGATAGTGGACTGCACAGATGTCCAGCTGTTAGCTCTCCAAATCCTGGTCTATACGAAATGGCCAACAGCACCAGGTGCGTGGCTCCACTCTGGCTCCCCCCAGAATCACCCTCCACCCAGCCAACGCTGTGGCTCCAGCCCCTCAAGATACCTGGTTGCTGGAGAAGGCAGCCCTGCTTGCTTTTCATTCTTCATTCATTCATTAGGCTGTGGGGGGCCTTGGAATGGCTGCATTGCTCATTAAAATAAGAGACCCCTGTACTGTGGACACGCCCAGTCTCCCAAGCCTCCTAGCTTCCTGGTCCCTCCCCAGGGCCTGCCAGATCTCCCACAGTCCACTGACTATGGTTCTGCTGGTTGGTTCTTGCCGTGGCAAACATTACCTACTTCCGTTTTGTTGAGCCGTATTTACTGGGAGTCGTATCTGAGCCAAGGGGGGCTTGGCCACTGGGATGCCGCAGACAAGCTTCCCGCCCTCGGAGCGCACCCATCCCCACAGGCCCCTGTGTTCCTCCCACCACTCCATTCACTTCTTTATCCACCTCTTCTTACCATCGCTGTTGACTCTTTGTTCCCCATAAAGCAAAGCTTGGAGAGCAGAAAGAAATGGTTGAGACCCCCTGACCTGGCAGAAAGACTGCCCCGTCAGCTATGTGACCTTAGGCAAGTAACTTAACCTCTCTGGACTTGTGTTTCCTCTTCTATAAAATGGAAATCACAATAGAACCTACGTTATAGATCTATTGTGAAGATTAAAAGGATATGTATGAGCTAACATGGGGAAGATAGTGCCTGGCATCAGACTGTACACATAAAAATGGGTGAGCTTGGGGGCTGGGGCTGGGGCTCAGTGGTGGAGCGCTTGCCGAGCCTGGTGAGGCACTGGTTCGATTCTCAGCACCACATATAAATGAATTAGATAAAGGTCCATTGACAACTAAAAAAAAAAAAAAATTTAAATGGGTTAGCCTGCTGAGTGCACTCAGGAGACTGAGGCAGGAGGATCTCAAGTTCAAGGCCAGCCCGAGCAACTTAGGGAGACCCTGTCTAAAAAGTTTTTTAAAGGGCTGGGGTGGCTCAATGGCAGAGCACTTGCCTAGCATTTGTGAAGGCCCCAGCATCACACACACACACACAAAGTGTATGAACTTCTGGCTTCTGGCATGTAATTATACTTCAATAAAACTATTAAAGACAAAGCAGCGCTGGGAGCACAGGAAGTGCTCAGCAAGCTTTAGTCATGGGGCTCGTCAGACACTTGTGGGGGTCATTCTGGAACCATCCTCTGAGCTGCTGCTCTGTGGGGGAGGTGGAGGCAGCCCAGAACTGCCCTCACAGGCCCGCCATCCACTGAGGACGTGGACCTCCCCAAATGGTGAGGCTGGAACTGGGGGAATCCAGGGATCCCTGCAGCCTGGAGTGTGCCTGGCCTGGTCAGGGCAGTCAGGGAAGGCTTCCTGGAGGAGGGGACCTGCAGGGAGTGGCACTGGCTTTCCTGGCTTGAGCCTGCTCTCCCAGACAGAAGGAGCTCAGCGGTCCACAGCACGCAGGAGGCTAGCTCTCCTATGACCCCACGTTCCAGATGAGAAAACGGAGGCATGAGATGCTCTGGGACTTCACTGAGACACCCAGGCAGGAGGTCACAAAGATGCTGTGGGGACCCACCATATGACAGCAGACCCAGACATCAGTGTATGTGCACACACACCAGCACACCCAATGAATGCCCTCAGTGACAACAAGCCAGAGCCCCATGGGCCTCCATGCTCCACTGGGGAGCTGGTACTGGGGCCAGTCCTGCCCAGGAGGAGGCAGGCTGCTCACTGGACAGCTCGGGTGGGGTGGAGCCATGTTTTGAGGGAGGAAGGGCCGGCTGGAGGGACCGCAGCTGGGCCTCTCCCCTCCAACATCCACACACACTGGCCCGGATTTGGAAAGTGTGTCTCATGGGGCAGGCCGGGCGGGGTGTGGGGGCCGGGAGTGTGGGAATGAGACGTGGCAGAGAGGAACAGTCCTTCTTCTCCACTACAGGCTCCTACTGCGCGCCACACATTGAGTGCTTTGCCTGCGTGACCCGTTCAACCTTCTGACAACCTAGGAAGGGACATCATCGTGCCCTCACAGAGGAGAAACCGAGGCAAGAGATAAGGGGTGTCCTCAAGCTTCCGGGGTTTAAAGGCAGCAGAGCCCAGATCTGAGGCCCAAGGCCCCACTCAGCTGGCATTACACACCCGTGTGTTCACAGACATTACCCGCAGAGGTAGCCACACCCCCACCAATGCACACACATGAACACACACACCAGCACACACAGCCCCACACAATCAGAGCCACAAACTGCAAGTCATGCCCTCGCTCATGATCCGGAAACCGCACAGTTACTTATGTTCCCACAATCACAAAGACACTGTGGGACCCACATACAACAGCAGACGCAGACAACAGCATGTGTGCACACACACCAGCACACCCATTGCCCTCAGTGACAACAGATTCACACAACCCCACAGCCTCCCAGATGTAAAGACATCCACATGGCCACAACCACACACTGTTGCACAAGACACTCCTGCACACACACTCACATACCACACTTACACAACTGGATAGCAGACAGAAGGCACTCACTGCATCTACAGCGCATCAGGGGGCTAGCACCCTGTGACCCCACATCCCAAATGAGGAAATGCAAGAGCAATCCCTCTGCCCTACCAGGGTCCTACAGCCACAGTCACATGTAGTGCAGACACAGGGTGCCAGGGCCTCTCACACAGACAGGCACACACAGCCCACTCGGACCCACGATCTCACGCCTTCCAGATGCAGGCTGAAGGATCTACATGGGCCAGACGCCTTCTCAGACACACACGGGGACACGCGCATTCTCCAAGACAAGTGCCTGGAGGGAGGTACAAGGATCCGGGATCCCACGATTCTCCAGTCCTGCAGGATCCCTCAAAGTCACATCCAATCACACCTGCAGGCACACACGGATTCCCCGACACACACCCGCACATACACCAAACCACTCAAGTTCAGAGTCATGACCTGGGTTGTAACACGTTGTCCCCACACTCAGTCATGGGCAGCCACCCACGCCCAGCCACCCTGTCCCAGGACGCACACAGTTACACCCGGGCCCGGCACGCAGCCTCCCGTTCCTTCGCCCCACGGCCTCTGCGCGGAGACCCGCTCCCTCCCGCCGCCCGGCCCGGCCCGGCCCGGGTGGAGCCGCAGGAATCCTCCCCTGCGCGCCCTCAGGCTCCCCCGGGCCGCCCCTGGACGCCGGCCAGGGACACGGTACCGCTCGCGCCCGCCCCGCCCCGCCCTCCTGCAGGGCCTCCGGTCCCCTCTGCCCCACTCTGCGGCCTCCTTTGCCCCAGTTCCCGGCCCCCCCCCCCCCAGGCCAGGGGGAGCGGGGAACAGAGACGCTGCGGGGGCGGGGCGCAGATGCTGAGCAGGCCCGCTGGAATCCACCCCCCACCCCGCACAGCTGTTTATAAATTCCAGCCCCGGCCTTGGCCCCGGCCCAGAGTCCCCTCCCAGCCCCTTTCTCAGCCCCATCTGTGGCCCAGAGGTGCCGCCGGGATCGCAGGGCCCCAGAGCCTCCCTGCCCAGGCTCTCTCAGGTGGCTCAGAACCCCGCCGTCGGGCCCCTTCATCTCTCCCTCTCCCTCCTTCTGACCCGCCCAGACATGTGGCCCCTGCCTGCTCACACGTGTCCACCTCCCGCCTGCCCAACCTCCAGATCACCAACATGGAGGACTCCCAGCCTCTCCCAGCCAGCCCAAGAGGCCAGAGTCCTGGAGGCTGCCCAGCCCTCTCCTCCCTCAGACCCAGGGGTCCAGGCCCAGTCTCCTCCCTCAGACCCAGGGGTCCAGGCCCAGCCCTGCTCCCTCAGACCCAGGGGGCCAGGCCCAGCCTCCTCCCTCAGACCCAGGGTTCTGCAGGCGCCTCCCTCCTCCCAGGGCCTTGCTCACTCACCCCGGCTCACTCTCTGTTTGGCTCCGGACAGGATGCCAGGTGTGTCAATGATACTGATGCTCTCCAGGACCTGGTTGGGGAGCTGGGCACACATGAACCTGGGGGAGTGGAAGGCCAGGGGTCAACTCAGAGGAAGACAGAGAGAGAGGACAGGTAAGAGGGGAAGTCCAGACTGTGCAGAGGAGAAGCAGGCATGGGGGGGGGGCCTGGAAAGAGGGACAAGATGGAAGGAGAAGGGTATCTAAAACATCCCAAGCACAAGCTCAGGGTCTCTGGGTACTTGCCTTGAGTCCAGAGCTATTTCAAGCTCCCCCTGGGGGGTAAGAAACTATAGTCAAACCCATTTTCCAGATGTGCATGAGAGGCACAGAGAGGTTAAGTCTCTTGCCCAAGGCTGCCCAGCTAGCCAGTGGGGGAGCAAGGACTGGAACCAGGCAGGCTGGCTTAGCGGCTGCTGCCCTAGGAAGGAGCTGGAAGGGGGAGACCGCAGCAGAGAGAAGGGAGGGAAGCCCAGTTGCAGGTATGGAAGGTGCCCCCCCCCCCCGCTGGGCAGCGGCCATCGCACCTGTTGAGGAAGGTGTTCCCGAAGGGGTTGAGTTTTCGGAAGGGCTTGTCGGGGTCCACCACCAGGGCATTGCCGGGCACAGTGCCCTCGGTGTCGCCGTGCATGACGGCCACGAAGCAGTCGGTGGTGGGCTCGGGCCCCACCCGGGAGCCGGGCACCTCCTGCTCCAGCAGGTACTGGATGAAGCTGGTCTTGCCCGTGCTGTACTGACCGGCCACCAGCACCATGGGCTTCCCATCGAAGTCGGCGTCCTCCAGGGCCGGGGAGTGGAAGGCCCCGAAGCGGTAGTGCTCCTCCAGGGGCAGCAGCTTCTCACGGTAGAGCTCCTTAAGGGCCGAAGTCACCGTGCGGATGGCCTCGGGCTGCTGGCCCCGAGCCCCGCTCTTCTTTAGCCAGCTGAACATGGTGGCTTCTCGCTACCCACTGGGTTCACTGAGGGCGACTCGAAGGTGCAGGAGAACAGGGGGTTGATGGTGGACTGCCTGGAGGGAGAAGGCAAACCGAAGGTAGAAAGTATGGGTGGAGGAGGAGGCGCTGGGAGCACGGATGGCAGGGGTCAGGAGGAAGAAGAGGATCACAGAGCCAGCCCGGGAGGAGGGAGAGATTAATGGTGGTATGGTGGAAGAAGGGGAGTTGAGAGTGGAAGAACGAGGGGTGGAGAAAGGGGAGAAATGCCTTCCTGAGACCTTCCTTCTTCTCTTCCTCTCTTCTTCCTCTGATGCATTTCCACTGGAATTCCTCCACACTTCAGAAACTGTGGCCCAGAAATGAGCCAGAGACCAGCTGGCTCCCACCCAGAGCCCCAGTGAGGACCAACAGTTCAGGGTGCCCAGGAAATGCCAGGCCTCTGGGGAGGGCATGAGAATCACCGCTGGTCAGTAAAGATCAGGCAGGGCCGGCGTTCAAGCTGCTTTTACGAGGGACAGGCGGGATGAGGGTCTTAGGAAAGGGACAGCGTATTCAAAGGTCTGGGGGCCTTCAGAGCAGGTCTCCTATGATGGGTCTGAGGGTCTGAGTTAGGGGGAGAAGGTGTCCCCAAAGCCACAGCCACGACCATGCCCTGTGATCAGACTGTAGGGTCTGTGGTGATATCCTGTCTTTATTCCTGACAGGACACTGGTAACAGGTTTTGCTCTTTTTGTTTTTGATCTTGGGTCAGTCTGAGTAATGCTTACAATTTAACTAACTTTTCCAGAGCACCAGCTCTGCTCAGATCAGAGTCGCAAATACTGAAAAGGACCCGGGGTTCCTTGAGAGAGGACTGATCCCGGGGCTGGGGCAGGGGCTGGGGCAGGGAGAGTTCGCGGAGCCTGGATTCCATAGGAAGCACCCAGGGATGGGAGGGGCATGTCGCAGGGACACAGGGCCCAGCTTTAAGGGACTCCCACTAACCAAAGATGTAGTTAAGATGTAGTTAGTTGCAAATCAAATACAGCAAATTCATAAAGTGACACTTAAAAAGTAGGGGAGATAGCAGGGAGAGGACTTGCGGAAGGAGGGCTGGAGAGGCAAGGACGGGCGGGAGCAGCGACCGGGATAGGAGCCGAGGGAGGGGGCCCTGGGTGGTGTCCTGGGCTGGGAGGCCGCTGGGGGCCGTCCGAGGAGGATGCTTGGGCTGGCCGATGGGGCTTTGGGGTTGGCGAGGCAGGAGAGTCGCTCTTGGTGGCAGAGGGACCAAGTTGGACGGACATGGAAGAGGGCAGTGGGGGGCGGCTTGAAGGAGGGACTCTGGAGCTGAGCGGCTGGGGTGGCCGCGACGGGGAGGCTGCGACGGCCTGAGGAGGAGTGTGGGACCGGGAGGGTCGGACGGCTACAGCCTGGAGGGGCTGGGGACACGGAGAGCCCGTGGGGGGTGCAGGGCTGCCGTTTCAGCGAGCGGGGCAGCCGCGGGGCCGGGGCAGCCTGGGCTCGGCGCGGGGGTCGCGAGTGCTCACCGACGGGCGCTGGCGCTGGGTCCTGCGGGTCCGCGGGGATCGGAGGCGCCCGGAGCGGCCTGTGCTCGGGTCTGTCCTGCTGCCTGAGCCGGGTGGGGCCCGAGCGGCCGGGAGGAGGGGCGGGGGGCGGGACGAGCCCCCCCCAACCCGCGCCGGCCTCTGGCGCCCCCTGGCGGGGGATGGGGAGCGCGCTCTTGGCGCGGCGGCGGCCCCTCGGGCTGCCAGTCCCGGGTTAGAATTGCGCCTCTCCTCGGGCATCCGGCCGTCCACGATCTCTGGCTCCTTCTACCATGGCATAAGGATAGCACTGCCAACGAATAAAACTGCTATGCTTTAAACCTCGAGGTCGTGAAGCGGTTCACAACTCTCCCGATTCCCTCCGGCTCAAAGCCAAAGTCCCCCAGGCCCTCCCTGCGCACGCCTCCGGCTCCCTCTCCCTCTCCTCTCGCTGATCCTCAAGCAAGCGCACAGTGCTTCGAGCTCAGAGCCATTGCCGGTGCTGTGCTCTCTCTCTGGACGCCTCTGTCCCCAGGGATCTGCATGGCTTCCTCCCTCCCCTCCTTCAGGTCTCTGCTCAAAGGCCACCTCCTCCGAGAAGCCCTCCCTCATCTCCCCGTGTAGCGCCCACCATTTACTCCCCATCTCCTCTTTATTCTTCTCCACCGTCCTGACAACCACTAAGCTTGTTCTGGGTTTCTCTGCTTCTGTGGCTGTCCCCCTCGGGAGAACACAGCCCCCAGGGCAGGGCTTTCCCGCTGCGTGGTCCCCTGCCTTGTGCTCAGGGTCTGGCGCCCTGCCTGACTTTGGCAGAGGCTCCTTCCAGCCAGATGAGCACTTCCGTTGTGCAGGGCAGCTCTAAGCTCTCAAAGTGACCTCACGGACCCCTCAGCATGTCCCAGGGACCAGGTGTCCTTACCCTCCTTTTACAGAGGAGATAGTGGAGCCCAGAGAAGTGAATTTAGAAACTTGCTTGTTCAGGACTTAGCAGCGCCCCTGGCCCACAGTAGGTGCTTAAGAAACATCAATACTTATCATCCATATCCAGAGCTGAGCTCTTCTCCAGGTCCCTGAACCTCTGGGATTCCGCACAGGAGGCCTTGGTGACCTTGCTCCTCTGTGCCTCAGCTGCCCATCTAGAGGCCTTTATCACTTCCCTTGAATCACTGCTCCAATGGCCTCTTCTGAGAATTCCCCACCCAGTCCCTGGCACTCCTGTCCCCCTCCCTACTTGATTTCCCACCTTGGCCCTTGTCACCATTGGCCAGTCTGTATGTGCTACTAATTTTTCAATCCCCTCCCCTCCAGTTAGAGTGTCAGATTCCCAAGGGCAGGATTTTGTCCAACGTGTTGGCACTCAGTGCCTAGAACAGTGCCTGGCACACAGTCACTTTTTATTAAAAATAAACGAACTTACTCAGAAGGCTGAGACCGGACAGATTGCAAGTTTGAAGCCAGCCTGGGCAACTTAACAAGACCCTACCTAAAACAAAACAAAACAAAGGGCTGGGAAGGACTAGGACTAAGTGGTAGACTGTCCAGTGTGTGAAAGGTCTTGGGTTCAATCCTAAGTATAAGATTTTTTTTTTTTAAATCAGGAATAAAACCCAGTGGAGATTAACCACAGAGCCACATCCCAGCCCTTTTTTGTGTTTATTTTGAGATAGGATCTCACTAAGTTACTTAGGCCCTCACTAAATTGCTGAGGCTGGCTTTGATTTCATGATCCTCTTGTCTGGGCCTCCCGAGACACTGGGATCGCAGGCATGTGCTACCATGCCCTGCTTGAATTTTTTTTTCCCAGTACTTGGGGTGGAACTCAGAGGCACTCTACTACTGAGTCATGCCCCCAGCTCTTTATATCTTTTTATTTTGAGACAGGGCCAATCTAAGACTGGCCTAAAACTTGTGATCCTCCTGCTTCAGCTTCCTGAGGTTATAGGTGTGGCCACCAGTCCCAGCAAAAATTGTAATTTATAAACTATTTAATATTTACACAGAAAATATTTCCTTGATTACAATAATGTACGTAATTGGGGTGATGAAAATATTCTAAGATTGTGGTCTGAGAAGGTGGCTCTGTGGTAGAGTGCTTGTCTAGCATGTGTGAGACCCTGGGTTCAATCCCCAGCACGTGCAAACACACAGACACACAGCCACCCTAGAGGGATCTCTGAGTGTCCAACCACTTTGTCTCTTTGAATATGCTGAATAGCCTAGGTGCTGTCTTGCCTGCATGTATTTCTGTCCCTGTTTCCTGAATCAGGGATCCTATTTCAGGGGTTGCAGCCTCTGGGGTCCCCCTCCCCAAGACACTATCTCATTTTTATTTTGTTCTGCTTTTCTGGTTCCCTCCTTCCCCATCTGTCCAAATGGTCTGGAGAAAATCTGCCACGTGCCACACATGAATGGACCTTGAATAAATCACACCAAGTGAAACAGCCCGTCACCCGGGAACAGACGCTGTGTGATTCCACTCACTGGGAGGGACCTAGAGGAGCCAGAGACATGCTGGCAGCTGGAAGGCAGAATGTGGTTAGCTGGGGGTCACTGGATGCTTACAAATGGTCAATATGTTCAGTTGTGCGTTATGTACATTTTACCACAATTTTTTTTAAAAGCAAAAATTTTAAAAAATGGATGGAGGTGACAGCCAGTGTGTCTGGATTTTAGTGGCTGAAGTATGGGTGCTGTCTCTCTTGGTTCAGACCCTGCCTGCGTCCCTATTACTGGGCCATGTCGTGGAGCCTCCTGATTGACCCCGATGGTTCCGCATGGGAAGGGGAAACCCACAGAACACCACCAAGCTGCAGCTGTGACCCGCGAGCAAAGAGGCTTGTTTTGTGTGTTCATGGAATGGCAGCCGTTGCCTTCTTCTGCTCCGCGGCACGCAGTCACCCTTTCAGAATGGAGGCCCTGGAAATCAAGGCCACCCTCTGAGTGCGGCCACCAGGGATCAAGTCCTGTGTCCTGTGTGATCCAAGACCAGAAGAGCGCCCTTCTCTCACGGCGCTTTATTTCGGTCTAGAGCTAGGAAGGGAGCTAGCCCATCCCTCTGAGCCCCCATTTATCAGCTACCCACCCACAAACAACCCCACGGGCCTCTAGAGAAGATGGGCGCGTCTGACAGGTCCAGCCGCCACTGCCGCGGTTGCCTAGGCTGGCACAGTGGGCTTGGTTGCCACTTCCCCACCGCCCTTCCCCACTTGGCCGTCAGAGGGCGCCAGTGAGCCTCATCAGCTCACAGTCCTCCAAGGCTCAGAAGCTGGCTGTGGTCCCCTCTTAGAGGGAGAGCCAAGTCACCCCCAGGAGCACAAGGTCCTATAGGATTAGGCTTCCTTTGTTCCCTCCTGACCTTACTTCGGTCTTCTGCCACTTACTTCCTGAGTTCCAACCCCACTGGTCACCTTGCTGTTGGCTGTTCCTTGAGTCTTAGATGCTCTTGGCCCAGAGATCCCTGATGTTTCCTGCTATATTTCATGCATGACTCTGCTTATATGTAACCTCCCTTGCCACCTGATCCTGAGACATGTCATGTGCAGTTGAACAGGCTGTTCATTGTACAAGTCACTGTGAATGGATGAGAGGGGGCTAGAATCCAGCTCACCTCCAAAATCCAGGAGGCTGCAGGAGAAAGGGGCACCATTTTCTAGTTTACACAAAGGGGACTAGCGCCTCCCTTGAGAATGTCTGTTGTTGTAGGCCACCCAGTTTGTGGCATTTTGTTACAGAAGTCCAAGGAGACCAACACACTTCGATTTGACTCATCACTGTTTGGTAGCCAATCCTCAAGATGTGCGTCAGCCATATTGGTGAATCTGTCTACTCACGGAAATTTCTTTGAACACCTTAAATCAATACCCCTGGTACTTCCACGGGCATGCACAGGACAGCAAAATAGCAAGTCACCCCCATACGTGTTCCCAGGCAATGTGGAAGAGGAATAGGCGCCTCTGTGCCTTCCGTTTCAGTGCTCATATTGCAAGCAAGTCCCTTTTATGTGGCACCACATTTTCCACATTCGGGAGCTTCTTGAGTGATTCACTGTTTAAAATGGCCCCTAGTGGAGACTGAAGAGCTGCCTTGGTCACCAAGCGCAAGGCTGTGTTGCGCCTCACACGGGGGGATATGGATAAGCTGTGGCCAGGCACAAGTTCCATGCTGTTGGCTGAATTCTGAGCCAGGGAGCCAGCGGCACAAGGGTCCCTGGCTATCCTGGGAGACTGGCCCCAGGCCCCACTGTAGATACCTACATCCTTGTCTACTCAAGTCCCTGATACAAAATGGCATAGTGTCTGCATATAATTATGCACATCCTGCTGTATGCTTCAAATCATCTCTAGGTGACTTGTCATATCTAACGCAACGTAAAGGCTAGATTATGGTTGTCATGCTGTATTGTTTAGGGAACTGTGACAGTCAAAAAAGTCTGTACATGTTTAGTACAGATGCAGTTTTTACAGAAACATTTTTGATCCTGTTGGCTGAACCCACAGATGGAGAACCCCGGGATGTGGAGAGCTGATTATATATATTAAAAAAGGTAATTTTAAACAGCAACATATGTTGGGTGCAGTGGTGCATGCCTGTAATTCCAGCGACTCAGGAGGCTGAGGCAGGAGAATGGAAAGCTCAAGGCCAGGGACCTGGGGATATAGCTCAGTTGGTATAATGCTCGCCTCCCATGCACAAGGTCCTGGGTTCAATCCCCAGCACAAAAAAAAAAAAAAGAAAGTTCAAGGCCAGCCTCAGCAATTTAGCGAGGCTCAAAGCAACTTAGCGAGACCCTGTCTCATAATAAAAAGGGCTGGGGATGTGGCTCAGTGGTTAAGCACCCTGGGTTCAATCTCGGGTACTAAATAAAACAGCAATGAACATAAAAGGAGCTGACATACTGATCAGCTGATGAAAGCATCGTGGCCAGAGGCTGCCAGGACTCTTCTCCCACAGAGTGTTTCTGAGGATCATAGAATCTTTTTTTTTTTTTTTAATATTTATTTTTTAGTTCTCGGCGGACACAACATCGTTGTTTGTATGTGGTGCTGAGGATCGAACCGGGCCGCACGCATGCCAGGCGAGCGCGCTACCGCTTGAGCCACATCCTCAGCCCTGGATCATAGAATCTTAC